CTCTCTCTATTTTCGCTCTCTCTAGAGGTGTGTGTGTGTGTGTGTTTTATATATATATATATATATATATATATATATATATATATATATATATATATAAAATCCAACTAAAATGAGGCAGATGAATTTTAATTTAAAAGATTAGAAAATCAATACAATAAAATACAGAGCTTTGCAGAAGTATTATATCTTGAACTTGTCCTGATTGTCAAAGATTACGGCCATCATCCCTCTCTGTGTAAATCCATTGTTCTGTGAAGGCATAAGATTAAGAATATGTGGGAAAACCTAAAAGTTTTCTGTCCAGTCTGAATGAGCTTCAACTTTCTGAAAGACAAAAAGCCAATTTGAGTCTGTAGATGTGTAAACCTGCAGAAACGTACCACAAAAGACTTGCAGCTGTTCTGCCAGAAGAAGATAGTAATTTTTTCAGATTTTTATTTCTAATCCAGTCTGTGGGTGTAACGTGACAAAATGGGAAAAAAGCTCAAAGGGTGTGAATACTTTCACAAGTCACTACAGATATTTGCTTAAACTTATAGTCTGGGCAAGGACCAAAGTTTAATTTGCTGTTTTGCAAACTGAGAAGGGAAATAAGGTAGAACTAAAACTCTTCAGAGCTCACAGTTACTGCAGCAAAGAGCAGCATTTTGTGGCGAATCAGTATGCAATAAGCCTGTGTCTCGTCTCTGCTTCTGTCAGCTGGGCAGTAGAAATTATGTAGATAAAGCATTTAAAAAAAATCTTAATGGTTCTGTGTTTCACATACAAATTAAGCCTCTAGGTGTCAGTATTCAACATCTAAAGAGAACAGTAATCAGTCTGATGGTATCTTTACTGTTAAATTATTTGCAGGTGAAGCCAATTGTTTTTGTTTTTTAGGTCAAAATCAGGCAGCCCTTCTGTAAGAGCATCAATGCACTCAAACAGTGAAGCTCAAACATTTTCTGTACTAAGGGATCAAAGTTTTACACAGTAACTCATCTCTATAAAATTTGTCAAACCCATTTAAACTTTTTTTTTCCAGTCGCTTGGCTGGGATTTGAATCACTACGGCAACATTTCCAGCTGCACCAAACATCTGCCACATGCAGTGAGAGTTTGTCTTTAATGTGGCTCCGAGCTGCTTTCTGTCTGTCTTCGGTCGCATGAGTTTATTGTTGAGTCTACAAAACCTGGCACTTTGGCAGCTTTCTTTCCTGCTGCACCACCGGCTCCTCCTGGAAGGCCCGTCTGAGGAATAACAGGTGCTGGAAAGAAAAAAAGAAAAAGAAAAAAAAGAAAAAAACACCACATAAAATGTTACATGGATCATCAAGCATGGGGGGGACAAAATGCCCTGGTTAAAACAGCACATTTATAGTCAAAGCGCTGCGATGAGGACAATTATAACTGATTTATTCTCCCAAACTGTGACTTTTTCATGTCTGATTTTGCTTTATGACATTAGGAAAATCTCTTTGGTTTGAGTTCAAATATGTTTTTTTCAGGCTGGTTGTCCTTTAATAGAAATGAGGCCATTTGTGCATTTGTGTAATTATGAAAAAAGACAAAATGTAGGGAAAAAAAAACAAAACAAAACAGGGAGTGAATGTCTTGCCTCCACCGGGCACAGAGGGTCCAGTTCCAGCACCTCCGGGTCCCACTCCTGCTCCAGCACCTAATCCAAAAGTAGAAACAGACACAGAATATTAGAAATAACATTTACAGATACATAATACATTAAAATAGCATGGAAAACTTTAGTTTTACTTTGGAAACTTAATTAAAAAATTCAAACTTATAATGATTCACTAAAACAGAGTGATATTCTTCAAAGGGGATTTTGGCTTAGAAATTACAATATTAAATGAGACAAATTAAACTGGATTATTTAATTACATGGCTGTTGAAAAGTATGATAATGTGTGTGGTTTTGACATTTGTTCAGTTCTCCTTTAGCATGCATTGCAGCAACAATGAAGTGCAGCGTGGAGATGATCAGTCAGGGAATGGTGTGATGCGTTCAGGAAGCTCAGGTTGCTTTGATAGCCGCCTTCAGCTCGTCTGCTTTAGCGGGTCTGATGCCTTTCATCTCCAATAATCCACCGATTCCGGATGGGGTTCAGGTCAGGTGATTTTATTAGCTAATAAAGCACCATGACGCAATGGTTATTAAAACAGGAAATGGTCCCTTTGGAAGTGAAGGCAGATGCCAAGTCCTGCTTGAAAACGAAATCAGCATCTCCATAAAACAACGAAGGAAGCATGAAGTGCTCTAAAGTTTCCTGGTAGACGGCCGGGTTGACTGTGGACTTCAGGAAACGGAGAGGAGCAACAGCAGCAGATGACACGGCGCCCCAAGTCGTCACTGACTGGTGACGGAAACTTTGTGCCTCTAAACTTTTAGTATAAACTCGTATTGATTCCAGATAAAGTGTAAAATTTACTTTCATTTGGAAAGAAAGTACATTTCAGCTTGTTACTTAAAATTCTATTTAAGTAATAATCTGAGTATCTATTAGCTGTAGTTGACAGGAATGAAAGCTTTAAATGTATCATCTTGTGCAAATGAAATGAAATAAATTAACTTTTTCTATAATAAGCTGATGTATTTTTTTTTTCCAGTACATGTTTCTGAGGGGCCTGAGATCCGGATCACCAAGTGATCACGGATGCCGAGACGATCTAATCTGGTTCTGCCAACCCAGTCGCCATGACAACACAAAAGGCTTCGAGTTTGACTTCTCCCTAATCAGAGGAGACAGGGAGAATCCATGGCATCTTGGCCCATCAAATAACTCATTTCTTTTCTTATTTTTACAGGAAATTAGCTGTCAAGTTTTGCTCGACAGGAACTTTGCAGCAGGATGAAACACGCTGTTTATTTGCTTAATCCATTCCGCCCCCTGAATTTTTATTTTTTTTTATTTTAAATTCCCAATACTTAACCGGACAGACGTTGCGCACTGCCTGAAAGTATGCGGTCTGGGAGATTTGGTAAGAAAAAGTTTGGCGAGGAATCTGCCTTTTAATCTGCGCCGTTTCAGAGAAACGAGTTGTTATTTTAAGTGTCATGAAAGCAGAACAGACCGATTCCAGGGACTGATGTTTTGTCACTGCCAACCAATATTTAAGCGCAGGCTCTTTGCCACGGAGCAGCCCCAGACATGATTGAGGCCCCCTGAGTTCATGTCTAATCAGTCAGGCTAATTTAAAGCAAATGATGTGCACGCACACGCTCCAGATTTTAACGTCAGATCCAGCTCTGCAGAGGTTCAAACTGTCGAAGGTTTGCAAGCGTATGATAAAAATGTAAACGCTTGCCAAATACGGCTTTTGTACTGCACTTCCAATAATGCACAACATACACTCTGGCTCTCTCCAAACATGCAAGCATGTTCATTTATCAAAAGTCTGAGAGGGCTTCAGTCAGTAAGGTCTGGAGGCTGCACAGTAGTCTGCCAACAGGCTGAAAACGACCCCCTGGTGGCAGGAGGTGGGGGGCCTCCTGCATCTGTTGAGAGCAACGATCAACCGCTGGAAAGTCCGTCGTCTTTACTGTTTTTCCCAGCAGGTTAGTCAAGGAAATGCTGCCACCGACTGAACCAAACGGGCCGGGCAGAAAGCCGTTCATCGTGTCTTCGCTGAGCAGGTGACTGAATGGATGGGCTCTGCACTTTGAGCAAAATCAAAGTGGATGTAGCAGAACTGCAGTCAACATGGAAAGTATTAGTGCTGCTAACTCATGTTTCACAAGGAAACCTGGAGGAACAGGGTGTTTTCTATTACTAACACAAAAGCTTTCGGAATGACAGAGAGAGATGATGTTTCTGGTTGTAAAATGTTCACAGAGAAGCTGAGTTTTCCAACACCTCTGGAAGATGTGACTCCATGAGGTCAGAATATGTTTATCCTCCATCATGCATGATGTCACAGAATATAAGCTTAGCCTTTCTCCAACAACAATCACTCATCTTTCAGTTTAATAACCAGCAGTTTCCATTAAACCCAGTCGGCTTTGTGTGATTACAACAGCTTCTGAAGGATTGTAAAGACAAGAGTTGATACCATCAATCCATTCATGGATTGTAGTTGAAGGAAACCTTCTTCCTCGTTATCAGTACCAGAGTCCAGCCCTCCACTTACTTACTCTAACTTTTATATTCCACCTGAATCAAATGTTGCCAGGTCTCTGCAGAGATGAATGTCAGACTGATGAGGAAACTCAAGTGTGTTGGAGAAAAGATGAATCTAATTTACTATAAAACGTTTGAGCCGCATTTAGTTGTGTCTACTACCTTCTACTCTTTGAGTAAAATAAATGTAGCAAGTTTTACATTTTGAACCTGAATGTGTGATTTTGAGGAAGATAAACTTACAGTAGTAAGTTGTGCTAACTTTTTTATTAAGCCCCCAGGAGTTGAATAAACTTTTTTTTTAAGTTAGCACTTAAAAAAAACTGAAAGAACAAAAGGACAGGAGTGGGAACTATTTCCCATGGTGCTTAGCGACATGTTTTGTTTGGTTTCACTTCTCTTCCAGTGGATCCTACCTGAAAACATCACATTCTCTTAATTTTGCTTAATTTTTATGCACATTTTGATTGAGTTTTATCAACTAAGGTTTAATTGAATATGATTTTATCATCCTGCCAATTTTATCTTTACAATACTTGAAGTTATGTTTTACTTCTACAAATTACATTTAAATCAGTAAACCATTATATTTGAAGGATTTTTATTCTTTCATTTTAATATTTATTTAATTTTGTTTTTTATAGTTTTTAAAATAATGTCTTTATTAGAGTTGGATTCTTACTACTTTAATTTTGAGCAAATAATTACAGAAATGAATAAACCTAGTCTTTTCTCATTCCCCTCATTTATGGCCCACTGACAGCAATTTCTTCTACAACATTAGCTAATGCAAGTTCAGAGACTGAAAAGAACAAAGTGTTTTCATTACTCAGCTGTAAACCAAAACATATTTCAGTTCAAGAAACATATTGTTACTAAGTCAAATATTGATTTTTTTTTAAAAAGTGTATTAAAAATGTGATTACTTTTTATTAATTTATTTAAAAAAAAATAAAAAATAATAAAAATAAAAAACACTGAAAGCAGTGTCAGTTCTCATATGAATGGCACTCCAGGCAGATACATCCAGGCACACATCCATAACCCTAAAGAAAATGTAGCAATCTAACTTGTAGGTTTCACCACAACATATCCTGCATGTTTTGATTTGCCTCATGTCACCCCTCTGCAGTGTGCCACTCTGGACAGACAGTCAGACTGTGTGTAATAATAATATAACTTTTACTGTAAATTACAGCAGACAGCAAATTAATCCTGGATCCCACCACTAACACAACATTAGTGTCATATTTCCACCAACCAATCACTCAGTGTACCTGCTTTGGCAGCAGCTTTCTGTGACGGGTAAAACCCTCCGGTACCGCCACCGTATCCTCCATAACCACCTGCAAGACAAACGTTTAGAAATTACCATTAAATCATTATCAATAATTTAATTTGAAATCGTTTTATAAATAACTCAACTTCTTTAATATCCATTAATAAAGTAAATAATTCAAAGCACCAAATCAGTTTTAATTCAATAAAACAAAATACTTACCGATCCCAGTTCCTAGATTTCCATAACCTTGGTAGGAAAAAAAAAAAAAAAAAAAGTTAAAAGTGGATGAATAAAGTGAAGTGCAACACAAAAAGCACCAACCTCCGGTTTGGAGGTGCAGTAAATGTTTGCTGGTCAAGAAATGTTATATGCATGAACATGCACAATGCACATAATGATATATAGCACAATAAATTATAATTTATTTTTCACTTTTTGGCCCCTACACCAAGCCTCTTTTGAATGCCTCAGCTCCAACCCGCCGTATATGACAGGAAATATGACAGTTGACTGAAACCTCTGAAATTTGTTTAGGGTTTGCGGTATTTTGTTTCCCCCGTCAGGCCACCTTAACGAAAGCTTTCTTGGAGGAGCAACTGAGACCACGGTTTACTTTACTGGAATGCGTAATGAGTTACTGCTGTAATTACCCTTCAATAAAAATAACACATCATTCAACATTTCATCACAACTCTCTCCAGAGCCATGCAACAACTGGATGAGATGTGGATTAAAAAATTAAGTTTGAGACACTCTAAACAAAATCATGCGCATTAAAATTCGACGAGCGTCGTCAAGGGAAGAGAGCTGACTTTTACGAAGCTCCACGCCTGACAGAAATGGCGTGAATCCAGCTTTTCGGTCCGGTTTGTATTGTGATCTAAACATTGGGGGGAGAGATGGATTCCTCTTAAAGCTTAAAAAAAAAGTATCTATGTTTTAATCTGAGGCTGTCAAAAAAGCTGAGCTCAGCTGGATGCATAAATTAAATCACGTCTCAGTTTGGGTTTCCTCTTGATGACAAGATTGAAACATTTGAAGAGGGAAATATATGGAAAGGGAAAACGTGTGGGAGAGAGAGAAGAAGAACATGGAAATAAAACACTCACCACCTGCTTTTCCAGCAGGAATCACAGCCAAAGCTCAGGAGGATTTCAAATAAGGCATCAAATACGATTTTATCATCCACTTATGGGACTTGAAGCAGACTTATCGACAGATCCTGTCGTAAGAACTGTCATTAGCCCAGCGGCTACACGTTTTAATAAGGTCAGGTCTTGGTTTCCTGCACCGTAGTGGAGCAGGTGCACCAAATCCTGAACCCTGCATTCCCTCGTTTAACTCCTGGCTCAGGCCATTTGCTGCTCATCGTCCCCCAATAGGGTCGAAAATCCCTTTTGGATTTCTCCTAGAGAAAAGGATGCTATGCTTTAAAAGTTCAGAAAATACAGAAGTATTTTTACTTGTTTTATGTACAGCAGTGTGTAAAAGTTTTAAATCGGCTTACTTTTTTCATATTTTGTTTCCAAAGAGCTAAGCATTAGTTTAAAAAAATTATCTTCTTTAGGCTTTCGGAAGATGTCTCAAAGTTTTTCTTTTAACTTAATACTTATGCGCTGATTTTCTGAAAATGACCCAATAAAAAAAATAAATTGTGAAAAAGAAGGACAGTTAAACATGCATTTAAACTTTTTTTTGTAAATAAAAATCTGAAACATTTGTTATTCAGTTCCTTATAGTCAGTATTTTATAGAACCACCGCTTGCTTCAACTTCAGCTGCAGATCTTTTGCAGAATGTCGCCACTCGCTTTGCACACAGAGGCTGCCCACTTGAAAATAGTTGCACAAAAATAACCCGATCTCATTCAGGTTAGACGGAGGCTACTTCTTAGTTGAATTTAAGTCTGGACTTTGACTGGGTCCTTCTGCTTTTATCTAATCCATTCCTTTGAGTTCAAAGGAATGTTCAATTTGCTCTTTAAAGTTTGCTAGAAGCATGTGGAAGTAGGTGCTGAGCTTTGAATGTTTAGAGTTGTTTTCCTGTTAGAAGTTGATTGGCTATCCAAATCCTTGTTTTCCTTTTGCAGCCTTCAACACGTTTCCTTGCAGGATTAGTCTGTAATTACCTCCCTCAGTCTTACCATCAACTCAAACCAGAATCACCGCAGCCACCACCATGTTTTATCATGGGAGTGGTTTGTTTAGAAAAGGGTTTAATTTCCGTTTTCTGATTCTGAATATTAGCCAAAAAATTAAATCTTGGTCTGATGAAAGCACCTACTTCCACATGCTTCTAGCAAACTTTAAAGAGCAAATTAAACATTCCTTTGAAAAGTATGTATTGTATGACTAAAGATTAGAGAAAGAGCAGCCAAACGGCAAAGCAGAAATTAAGAAACACACGGCAATAATAGAAGAAAGTTGGACTTGTAGGAAGGAAGTACAAGGAAATGAAGGATGACTGAAGAGTTTTGCACATTAACTCCAGATTTCTTAATTTGTTAGTGTTTTTTGGACTCTGTGTGAATGACATTTTAATAAAAATCGGTTTCAGGAAAAAATTAAAACAAAGTTGGCCTAAAAACAACAACCTTTCCAAACAAAGACCCTTTCTGAAACCAGGAGAAACATTAATGCTGCCAACAACTTTGTCCAGCAAGGAATTTACTTTCATCAACAACTGAAAATAAAAAAAACCTGGGATGAGAACAACTGTGCATGGGAAACAATTCACCAGGACACAGAGATCAGGGTGGAGCTGGTCCAGCCAATTGCAGGTGAGGAAACTGTTCTGACGAGGAGGAGGAAGAAGAGTAGCAGGAGGAGGAGGAGGAAGAGGAATGTACCGGCAGCGATAGGAGGACAGATCAAGAGTGGATCAAAACAAATGTGGGCACAGCTCTCGCCAAAGCCTTGGCAACAGAGACCGCGTGCAATACAACCCCAGATTTGAGATAATCCGTCTCCTTCTGCCTTATTCCTCCAGATTTCTCAACCATCTCTAGACACATGTTGAGATAATAAGTGCAATCGATTTTTGCGTAAATCAAACTAACCGTTTTCCATTTTCCAGCCGTTCCCGTGCTAACACGAGGACTCTGTCTTATCACGTCCCCTGGATCTGTTGGACAACGACTCCAAGAAGGTTTCTGATCAGCATCCATGGAACAGCAATGATCTATAAAGCTATTAAATTCACCAAACTGACTGGTTTACACAATGTTCCACAGGAGATTTAGATGTGTTCTGGCTGTCAGCACGTCTTTAAGAAATGCTGCGAGCAGCAGAATCAAAACAGGATTCTGGAGACTCTTGGATTATAAATCAATCACCTGTGCTCACATGTGCTTTTAGTCGCCGGGTTTGCTCAGTCACCCACACCTGCCCCGCTGAGCTCAGCTCTCAGCACTGAGACGGGGAGATGAGAAGCAGACACTCAGATTTTGGTCCGTAAGGGTGTTGATCTGTATGCGAGACCATGACTACAAGCCTTGAGCACAAACACAAAATTTCCACAAGAAAAAAAAAAAAAAGGAAAGAAAATTTATTTTTTGTAGTTCTGACATCATCTAACATTGTGAAAACAAAAATACCAATGAACAAATATACCACACAGGTGGTGCTACATGTCCAGGGTCAGAGCATGAAGAGCTTCATTGTTTGGCATTTATCCACTGAGGTTTCCTATGAAAGGTTCTCTGTTCAGTAACACCATCTTGTAAGCTAAAACAAGCGTGCTTTTGTTGGACGACAGAAACCTGTTGCAACAGTGTTTGTTGTCGTGAGCCACACACATAGAAGCCCGATATCAAATCTTCAGTTTTCTTTGCAGCTGCTGCCAGTATTTAGCTGATTGCTGACAAGCCTGAAGGATTTTTGCACTCTAATATTACACCTAATTTTCTCCATGACCCTCAAGACAAAGTAGAGACCCCTGGGGATCAATTGAGATCCACTTTGACTTTGGACCTTGGACTAGACGATCAATACTCAACATGGAGGATGGAAGTGACAGGAAACCTGATATTACCCAGAAGGTGAGGGCTGAAGGCCAAGAAAGGGAAAGTAGAAAGTTAAATGATGCAGTACGGCCATGCATCACACTTTCCTTCATTTGGATAGAAAAAAAAACAAAAAAAAAACATGATTTTTCTGCCAGTTTCCATCCAGAAAAGTCCACTCATGGAGAAGCAGTACCATGAGTACAAATCTGGAATAAACTTCTTGACACTCTGTCTCAAAAAGTTTATTTAGATTTCCTCGTCAAACCAGTTCCTCCCCTAAACTGGTGCTAATGCTCGCTTCAAACCAGCTTTTTTCTGTTTCCGCCCCTGCAAGCACTGGGTTTGGCACAGACTAACTGGTTTTATCACCAACTTTTAACTTGTCTTGGGGAAAAGAACAAATTTCGTCTGAAGGTGGCTCATTATGACCAAAAACTAATAAAATGTAAGCAGCACATTTAAAACTCCCGAGTTACACCTAGTTTATGGCTACCATTTCTGTCCTGATGAATGCCATCATGTGACATTCATCAGGGGATGTGCGAAGAGGGGATGTGTTCCCGTTTCAACCAGAATTTGAAGCACAGAAAATGTTGAATACATATAGAGGCATTATTTACTACAAATACACTTCAAAAAAAGCCTCAAAGTTTCAAATACATGCACTGTATAGCTAGTTATTTTGTTATTCTTCTACTAATTGCTAAATATAGGCAAAATTCTTCTGCACTGACATCTAGTGTTTAAAATGAGAACTGCAGTGAGTGACATGCAACTCATAGGAAGATAAATCTAAGCGACCTTGTCGATGTCATAATTCTTTTGAGACATCTGTCCCTCTATGCTGTTACCAAGTTTTTTTAAAGGCAGCCCGTGTTGGTGGCACGTGGCATTCTTGAAACATATGCGCCTCTGATATTTCCTGGCAGACACACGAGAAGCTTCTGAAGACCAGTCAACGCTCCAAGGTGCGATCAAGCTGCGATCCTTTTTATAACCTGCTCGGTCACCTCTGACGAACCTCACACGGTGTTTTTATCCGAAGGTGGTATTCATTATTATGAAGATTTATGAACACCATGATATTGTGTTCATAAATCCTGCCTCAAATGCACTGTGTAACTTCTGTTTCCCAGTACTGTTGTTTAGTGGCATCGCTTCTCAAAAATCAGACTCACTTTCACATATGTACATCTTTCACTCTTACGTCCACGACTGTTTAAAAAGGTTTTCACCACAGT